GAGTTGGGGGAGTTCTGATAACCCCTCCCCACTCTCTGCAAAGGTCACTGGCTCAATCCACTGCAACTAAAGAGGAAACAAATGCCTGAAGAGCAGAAATCCCCAAATATGTCACATCAAATCACGGAGCAGCTAATGGGACAGAGCCACGTGGTTAGAGCATGTGCATTCTGCTCTATATCATTAATTTACTGATGTTAAATATTTCAGGAAGTAACTTCCAGAACTTCCAGAACTGTCCTAGTGGCTGTGATCACAAATTATTCATCAGTGGCACTTGAACAAGAAAAACCTTTCTGAACAAGGGCATTTCTGAGGTTCTTGTTGGGTTTTTTTGCCTTTCAGCTGACTCCCTCTGCCTTCCAGAAGCAGATGTCTCTCACCACCAAGCAGAGGCTGGCCAGCATTCCGCAGATTAATCTGCCCCAGATTGTCCAGCATCGAGATATGAGTGAGACCTCCAATCACAAGGTAGACTTTTCCTGCCCTTTTCCTTGCTCTTTGATGTGGTATTTGAAAAGAGTGAAAGAGTGTCAAAAGAGCTGCTCAGCTTGAGCCTGGTCTGTGTGCTGCAGCAGCTTTTGATCAGCTCAGAGCAGAGGTGGGTGAGCTGCTGTTTCCCCAGTGGGAGCTGGGCAGTACTCACTGACAGTCTGTATTTCACTGGGGCTCAGTGCAGGATCCTCATTCGTGAACCTTCCTCCCAGCAGCTGAACCTCTCCCTGCTCTCTCTTGCCTCTCCAGGTCTCAGCAGTTGACCCAGACCAGACCTTGTTTCATGTTTTCCCATCAGAGGTGGTATTTCAGAACTACGTCCCACACAAGGTCTGTGAAATGCCACTGGTTCTGAGGAACAGGGACATGGTGAGTGCTGGGATGTGGAGGTTTAACAGTGTGCTGGAAGAGGAGAGAGGTGCAATTCCTGGGGTGTAAGCAGAGCAAGTTACCTGCTGCAGCACACCCAGAATAAAATGTCTCAGCACCTCTGTTTGGCAAGATGATGGACATCTTCCCATGCTGGGGATCCTCTCTTGATTTTGGCTGTGTGTTGGTGGTATCTACCCCAAAGGAGCTTTTCTTATTTGTCTTTGCCAAGTACCAGCCAACAGACAAACAGTGAATTTGCTCTACTCATGCTTCCTCCTATGTAAAAGGACATTTATATTAACATTTCTACCAGTCTTAGTAAAAAATACTTGTCCTACTCTCTCTGGCTGAGCTGCTTTTGCCCAGGCAGATGGGATTCTAAGTCCACTCTTGTTTATTATGTGCATGCACCTCCAGAGCTAAAAGTGCTTTGGAAAGGTGTTTAAGGAAGGATGTTATCAGGGCATGGCCAGGTCTCTTCTCTACCTGTTTCCACAAGTGGCAAAATCATCATTCCATGTCTTTCCTGCAGGTTCCTCGGCTGGTGAAGGTCACGATGGAGAGTTCACCTTATTTCCAGCTGGTTGGCCCCAGCGGTGCGTACCGTAAGGTGCCACCGGGCATGTGTTCTACTTTACGCATCGTCTTCACCCCTGGGGAGAACAAGGTGAGTCTGGAGGTTCCAAGAGATCAGTACCTTCAGTGGAAAGTGAACCTGCAGGGCTGGATTCAGGACAGGGCACCTGGCCTGGGTTTTGAGGAGCTCAGCTGGCTTCAGTGGAGTTGCACTGCATCTGGAATTATGGGGTACTCTTTGCCCATGGTGAAGATGCGGATGAATGCTCTGTGCTGAGACTGTTTCTTTCTGTGCAGGATTATTTCCACTGTCTCATCTGCACCACTGAAAGAGAAGAGTTCATTGTGCCACTTCGGGCCATTGGTGCCCGAGCTGTCCTGGACTTCCCTGACCAGCTGGACTTCTCGGTCTGTCCGGTCAAGTACAGCACCGAGAAGACTCTGATGGTTCGCAACCTTGGTAACAGGGAAGCCCGTTACCAAATCAGCACCCAGAGGTAAAGCAGCTCGTCTTTCTTTGTGCAAAACACCTCTGGGTGATAACAGAATAGTAATAGAGTAACGAAAGGAACCAGAGCAGGCTCTCCTGAGGGCTGGATCTCCTCAGAAGTGAGCCAGTAGCAGTTTCTCATCCTGTGTGCTCTGCTCTCTGCTGACTGTGGTTGGTTTGCTCCTTCCTTGCACAAGTGAGCTGGAGTGACTGCAAAAGGAATATCGTCCCCAAATCTCCCTCAAGAGTCCTGATATCTCTCTGTGTTGCAGCCCCTTCTCTGTCACTCCGACCATGGGAACTCTTGGCATTGGTGACATCCTGCAAGTGACAGTGGAATTTCACCCTCTGCAGACTGGGGATCATTCTGGATCCCTGGTAGTGCACTATGACACAGGTGAGTGCTGGGCACTGCTGGGCTGCCCTGCTATGCCCTGGGCAGTGAGGAGAAGGCTTTGCCTTTGCAGAGAGATGCCCTCCAGAATAAGGCTGGCACTTGGCATTTGGGGCTGGCATTAAGAACCACCCCATAGAAATGCCATTTCTAGAGAACATGTCTAATGTTTGCTGTTTGCATCTTGCCTGGGAAACAATCACCTGCAACAGGAAGGGTGGGATAGGTATTGAAGTTTGTGCCCAGGAGGTATTTGGTTGGGAATAATGAAGGTTTGAGAGCTCTGGAAATGAGGGAGCCTTTGGTCCATTCTAGAGGATGAAATGCCAGCAGGTTCTCCAGCAAATTTCCAATCCTCCATCAGTTGATGTGCACAGCCAGGGGCTCTCTCCTCTTCAGCTCTGTCTGGGGTGGAAAGCAAAGATGTCCTTGCTCTGGTTGTTGAATAGTTTGGGAATCCTCAGTGTGGACTGGCAGGCTCGGGGGCAGGCAGCAGGATCCAGGCTTGCAGGACTGTAATGGGCAGGTTGGTGTGGGCTGTGCCCCACCAGTCTTGTTTTGACACCTCATCACAAACCCACAGCAAGTGAGGGCACTGCTGCCACAACACAGCAAAGTCCTCGCCTGTGTCCCCTCCTGCCATGGGCCATCACTTCACTTGTTCTTCCAGGTCTCTCTTTTCTGCCCACATGCCCCCAGGCATTGTTGCTTGTCAGTAACAAGGGATCAGGAGAGACAGGAGCTCCTGGAATGCCTGCAGGAGACCCTGGGCAAGCCATGACTGAATGGGGCTCCTCAGAGTCACCTGAATGACTCTGATGCAGAATTCCCTGTGACCTGAGTGGGTCACCCCACCACATCTGACTAATCTCACTCTAAATACTGTCACCTTGGGGACAGATCTCCACAAACACATCAGAAATAAGGTGCTTGAGGTGGTGTCCAGGACATCCCCACGCTGTACACACAC